GGAGAAACCTGGTTTCAATTTCAACGCCTACATGCTTGAGAAGGCCAATAAGGTGAACCAGGCCTTGGATGCAGCTATTTCCCTGAGAGAACCCGAGAGGATTCACGAGGCCATGCGGTACTCCCTTCTCGCCGGCGGCAAGCGTGTGCGCCCAATGCTCTGCATCGCCGCCTGCGAACTTGTCGGCGGCCACGAATCAGTGGCCATGCCCTCAGCTTGCGCCGTGGAGATGATTCACACTATGTCGCTGATTCACGACGACTTGCCCTGTATGGATAACGACGATCTGCGGCGAGGGAAACCGACAAATCACAAGGTCTTCGGGGAGGATGTCGCGGTTTTGGCTGGCGATGCCCTTTTGTCTTTCGCCTTCGAGCACATCGCCGTTGCTACCGTGGGCGTGGGGCCGCCGAGGGTAGTTCGCGCCATCGGGGAGTTAGCAAAATCGGTTGGCGCTGAAGGTCTGGTCGCCGGGCAAGTTGTGGATATAGCTTCGGAGGGATTGTCCGATGTGGGGCTGGAGAAGCTAGAATTCATTCATATTCACAAAACGGCAGCGTTATTGGAAGCCGCGGTTGTGCTGGGAGCAGTCGTGGGAGGTGGGTCGGACGAAGAGATTGAGAAATTGAGGAAGTTCGCGAGGTACATCGGGCTGCTGTTTCAGGTTGTGGATGACATTCTCGACGTTACCAAATCGTCGGAGGAACTGGGGAAAACTGCGGGGAAGGACTTGGTGGCTGACAAGACCACGTATCGAAACTTCTGGGGATAGAGAAATCGAGGGAGTTCGCTGAGAAATTGAACAAGGATGCGCAAGATCAGCTTTCTGGGTTTGATCCAGAAAAAGCTGCTCCGTTAATTGCTTTGGCCAATTACATTGCTTACAGGCAGAACTAGGTTGCTCAATTAATTTGTTCTAGTTTTGGATGATTGCAACTTCTGAAATCATAGTTATACATAAGCTCCTGATCTTGTAACGAGGGATGCCTCCAAATAATTCCCTCTTCTCCTCTGTGCTTCAATGTTATTCAATTCAAACTTTGTCCAATTACATTGCGTACAGGAAGAACTTGGTTGCTCAATTAATGTGTTCTAGTTTCGGATGCTTGCAGCTTCTGTAATCATGCATAAGCTCTTAATCCTGTAACGTGGGGGGTTGTCTCCAAATAATCCGCCCAATTAATTTGCTCTAGTTTTGGTGTATCATCTTTTACCCCACTTTCTAGTGACAGTAGGCTTCAGGATATTAAAATGACAAAGATGGAGCAATCAGTTAAATCGAAGCCTGATCGTCAGGCTTTTCGTTGATGTTTCCCTGTCTGATTGATTACTCATTTTCAAAGCCTAGGGCCGGTTTGGTATGGGGGAAGAGTTTTTGATCAAAATGAAAGGGGGAACGGAAGTGAAAGTTCAAGGCACAATTAGCATATACATGAAGTCTTTCATAGTTTCTTATTTTGTGTATTTATATGATCAAATGGCTAAAATATCCTTTGTAAAAATCTGGCCCTGCTCCCACAAACAACCACCGTTACGTTCAAACGAGAACAAAAAGTTAGAGGTGAAAATCCATTCGGAAGCTTTCAAAAATTAGGAATCGCGAAGAGCACTCAGAATGGATTCGATGGTGGAAATCGACCAGCAGCAACCAAGCTGGTGGAGGGTCGGTGCGCAATCAGCAAGACAAGAGTGTGGAAGAGGGAAGGTAGGGGCAACCAAGACATGAAAGTAACTTTGGTTGGGTGAGGTATGAATCCACTACCACTTCCACCGCTTGTAATGGAAGTGACCTGCATGAAGAATTTACTTTCAGTGTATTAAACAGTCAAAAATTCTGATTCCTCTGGCTGTGGACCAAATGGGGCCCAAGAGGATTTGCTGAAGCCTTCAATCTGTTAGCTCATGTTGCATATATAGATTTTTTAATGCAGATTGTGTAATCTGCATCCCCATGATGATGAAAAATGCTATCCAAATGGGGAACTTTGTTCTGTGTGTTCCTATGCATTCATGTTGTGCTTAATTACTATGATCGGACCCCACTAGTGAGTAAGGATTCCTCGTAAAAAGTGATTCCTTGCTCCTCCTAGCGTGCGAAACTTCTGACTCTGAGGTAGCTTTCTTGGAATTTCATTTGGGTTGGTATGGTATATCTGTGACCCAGGGCTTCGCAGTCAAGCAGGGTTTAGGAGACTTCCAATTCAAATGCTCATGTTTGGCTGAGGAATTAGTAATATTGTCCAAGCTTTGGTCAAATGAAATTTAAGGGTTTTCATTGAGACCTCCTCGGCAGCCCTCCAAGGATATAAAATATATATTTTATTTAATACTTCTTTTATCTTTAACATAGGATTTAATTTCAGAATTGATGTTGGTCTTATATGTAAAACCTATTTTATATTTATTAATTTTTTTAAATTAATTCAATTGATATTTTTTCAACAATGATTAAGTAGAGAGGAAGGGAGGACATTAAAAAAAGTGATTATGGCATTTTTTTTAAAAAAAAATAATTAATTTAACTAAAATTTTTAATTTATCTAAATTAATTAATTAGATGTTTTCCTTGTGGTCCCGAATCACAGAAACGAACAACCAATTGATTTGGCCGCTATTTCAACCTCCAGCACCGAGGAGATTGGAACAGTGATGTAGCGAGTGCGATGCAACTTCTTGGGAAAACACGTTTGGCACCCTTATTACTTGTTAGGCCATCCATCCACGGGAACCTCATTGCACCCGGTTTATATATTCTCCCAGTCTTAAATATAAAGTTTTATTTTATCGTATAAATTTATATTATAAAATAAACTTTATATTTAGGATCGGAAGTATTATGGACTGTTATATTTTTTTTGTAAAAGAATACTTAAAATTAAACGTAAATATTGAGGAGTCGATTTTTTTTCCGAATTTTTCAGTATAATTGTGATATGAAACATTATAAAACTTTAAATCGAGAATCTGCATATGGAGATATTGGAGCAAAAAAGCAGTCAGGGCATGTGAAAGGTGAAGAAAATCAACGCAGTCGAATATTATGTCGGAGAGATCACATTTTCAAATTTTACTTTCTTCAATACTACTAGATTTTTCTTTTCTTCTCAAAACTTACTTTGATTGACTGCTGGGTTTGATGGAGGAAAATCATAAGAGGGGAGTGGGGATCGTGGATCGTGGATCGTGGATATGATATTTGAGAATATTGTGTGTGTGTGTGTGTAAACTGGATATAATGTTTGTAAATATGCGATTCCTTACTCCTCTTGTCATGTTACTCCTCCCAGCCATTTATTGGAAACAACTACAATTTTACGTTTCCTCGGTTTATAAGAAATATTGTAAGGTGTCTCAGTTTTCTACATTTTATTTCTTATTTTATTTTTTTAATTATTTATTTTAATACTCAATCTTATTTTTCGAAGCATTATCCATCCATCTCACTGTTACACATTCTTTCTCTTTTATAATTCTCTTTCTCATAAATAATGATATTTTTTAGGAAAAAAATTTATGACTTTTACATATTTATGATTTTTAATAAATTTAACTAACTTTGTGATTTGGCCTAACAGGACAGCGAGAGTACTCTCTCAGATCCTATATATAAGTTTTAAATAACTGAATTAAGTTCAACAAACTAGCAGTTAAAATTAACTAAAAATAATAAATATGTCAGAAATGTATTTTTTCTTCAAATTTGTCCTTATTTATTAAGAGAGTAAATAAGAGACAATAAATAAAAAAATAATGAAAGAGAATATATAGGAGTAATATTAATGAGAGAGTATTAAATTCAGTCAACTAAGAGTAAAATAAGAAAAAAATAATAATAAATGTTCAGATAAACTAAAAAATCAAATTTATATTTTTGACCAGATGTATCTCCAAAAATGAGACTTATATATTTTTATTTGTGAAATCATCATACTGCACAGTGCACAGTTCCTGTTTTGTTCTTGAAGCTTGCTCGCAGCCGCCTCGGGGTCTTGATCAACCCAAGAAAGTCATTAATTGTGTCCAAACTTCCAACGATTCTAACGCGTTAATACTAACTGTGTTTAAAACTCCCTCAACGACTTTTTATAAGACCTGATAACTAAATTATATGCTCCTCTGGTCCTATTTACTGTTAGTATATTTTATACAGACAGAAAAAGACCTTAAAATGTATTAACTCTATATTAAAACAAAACAAATTTTTAATTTATCGATATTTAATACTCTTTTAGTCCTTAATATAAGACTAATTTATCTAATTTGATTAGATTAAGGAAGTTAAGTGAGTTAGTTAATTATAAGAAATGTGACACATTTTTTTTCTAAAACACTGTAACCATCTTTCTTAATACCCTTTCTCTTTCTTCTACTTGATTATGGTTGAGAGAGTATACATAGGGGTAATTTAGAGAAAATTGATAAATATAAGAAATGAGTCTTATATCTAGGATCAAAACTAACCCAATAATTAGATCCTATATTAAGGACTGGAGGAGTATATATACATTTCAAAAGAATAACTACCTATACTTAGTATCAAAAAAAAGAATAACTACCTATACTATAATAAATACAAGACAAAATAGCATATTTATACTGAAAATTTAATAAAGTAACTTATAAATAGAGCAAGAAAATCTTCTCTCTTTACCCTATAAATAAGACAAAAATAGTAGTTTAAAAATAATTAAAATTAATTAAAAATAATAAATATATAAAAATAAGTTTTCTTTTCCCAAACATCCATTATTTATAAGAGACGAATAAGGGAAAAAAGTAGGAAAGAGACTGTAATAAATTTTTAATTAACACAATACATAAAATTAATTAGGGATAAAAATGGTAAAAACACATTAAATATTTAAATAACCACAAGTGAGACAAGGCATTTTTCAAATTTCTGGTTCTCATAAAAAGAACTGAAGTAAATCAATAGAGTTAAATAGATGAGTTAATTATAATAAATATTACATAATCTTTCTAAAATACTTCTATATAATATTATATTACATATCAATTTATAAGATATTAGGTAAATTAGATTGTAAGAAAAATAAAATTAAATAAGTAAATTGAGATACTCCTCCGGTTCTTAATGTAGAACTCAATTGTTGAGTTGATTTTGGTCCTAAATATGAAACTCATTTATCATATTTATCAATTTTCTCTAAATTACCCCTATGGTCACTCCTTCAACCATAATCAAGTAGAAGAGGAAGACGGGGTATTAAGAAAGATGATTATGATATTTTAGGAAAAATGTGTCACAGTTCTTATAATTAACTAACTTACCTAACTTCCTTAATCTAATCAAATTAGTTAAATGGGTCTTATATTAAGGACCGAAGAGTATTATATTTAGTTTCAAATTCAATTTTTAACCAGCTTCTATATTAAAAATCAGAAATCGTAAGAACCAGAGCTATTTATTAATTATTAACAAGATAATTTATTATTTGAACTCCATTTAAATTGCAACATTCTTCACATATTGATATTGTTGGAAGGGGCTAAATGCTCGAGTTATCACTTGTTAAATAACTGCTGTACAAAACTTCAAAAACATATCAGACGTCAAAACTTATTTTCCCCCCAAAGTAAAAAAGGTAATTAAGTAATTACAAGATGTGAGATCTGAGATCTCAAGGCTTTAGATTTTTTTTTTCCTGTCATTAGAAAGGGAAAATTACACTCAGATTCCACAGAGCACAATTAATATAAAAAAGATCCCTCAAAATCGTGAAATGATTCTGAAATCCCCAGGGACCTGTGTGTAATAAATTCTAATTCTGAAATTATCTACTTACCCCTGTTAATTTTATTACAGCAATTCGTTTACAATCTCAACAGTGGCTGTTAACAACCCGAGAAGACGTGATTGACAACCTCGGCAGTGCTCATGACAACTCACTCTGTGGAATGCCAGGGGCGTTGTTGAGGTTGTTAACCACCTCTTATCGGGTTGTTAACAGCTACTGTTGAAATTGTAAATAGGTTCTAATTTTATTGCAGCAATTCGTTTACAATCTCAACAGTGGCTGTTAACAACCCGAGAAGACGTGATTGACAACCTTGGCAGTGCTCATGACAACTCACTCTGTGG